ATGTGCTATTTTACACAGATAAGTTTGAAAGAAAACCACATTCTGTTTTGCTTTAGAAAATCCAGAAAGCAGAGTAGCAAGCAACCGCAGCACTTCTAGGCACGCTTTTTGATGTCTGCTGATAGCACAGGTAAAAAGCCCTTTTAGGTGCTGAGAGTGTCATTATTCCCTCCCCAACCCCACCCCCCAGCAGCTTGCATAACTTAACGTGGAAATAGTTAGCAGTTCTGAAATCACAGCAGTGAACAATTTTTCTTACTAAGCCCAAGAGAGAGACATTGTTTCTTGACCATGGTTTTTTCCTGAACCTCTCTGTGCTGTTAACAAAAGTTTGGTATGGACGGAGGAGACAGCTGGCAGCTGACAGCATGAATTTATAATTAACTTCCAAGTCAGTTTTTGGGAAGTCTGGCAAGATGTAGATACGTTATTGATAGCTTATTTTTCAGTGTTTGGTAATTGTAATAAGAGTCTACTGGAAATCGCTTGCTCTGGTAAGGTTTCGCTAGGTTTCTAGAGAGTATTGTCTTGTTTTGGCACTTAGGGTGCCTGAAGTGAAATACGAAAAGTAAATTTCCAAGAGTTTCTAAGTCACGCCTTGAGTTTAACGTAGCTGCACGTGAGCAATCATTTTGCTGTGTTGTGCCGTGTAAAATCCTGCATCAGAAGAGATCTTCTGAGTGGGTTTTTTTTTTTTTTTTTTTTTGAGGTGGTTTTGGAAAATTAACAGCTTCAGGTCTACGCTCAATGCATTGGTGTTGGTTTTTTTTTTCCTTGAAATGTATTATTTTCTTGTTTTCTAGATAGTACTGATCTATTTATCAGAATTATGGAAAAATTCTGTTAAAATTCTGCTTTTTGAGTTAAGCCTGAACATTGTCCTAAATTCTGCTGCCCGAGCAACAGTTTTTTTTAGATGGAGGAAAAGCGTAGCAGGGTGTGGTGGGGTGTGGTTGCTTGTTTTTTTTTTTTTTTCCAGTCGTGTTTTAACTAAACCTCAAGTTTTGTAGGTCATCTTCACCCTCCCCCAACAACCTCATTCCCCCCTGCATCGATGCTGTCAGTTAAGAGTTTCTAATGCGCAGTATTGTGTCAGCATATATGTAAATTATATGAATAACCTTTGAGTGTAGATTAGTCGTAGTACTGGACTGCCTGATTTAGAGACTTATCTGTGCGCTTGTCTGTGACTGCCGAAATGATCGAAGGAAAACAGCATGTTGTCTTTAAACACGGCGTGCCTACGTTCTGTAGGCCAAACAGGAGCGGTGTGTTTGGCTTTGTTTTCTTGTAGGGTTTCTTTAAAATCGGTGCTTACGTGGGTTCAGTAGGTCCCATTCCTTATTCCATAGTTCAAACTCCCTATTGGTTTGAATTGGTTTGTTTTGTGTTTGGTGGTGGTCTGTTTAGAATGACACTGGTCCTCCCATGAGCATAACTATCCGCTTCTGCCCATGCGCTTTGGTATACTGTGCACGTGTATGCTCTCTGTCTCAGGGAATTAGGTGGCTGTAATATCACAAGTAATGGAAAACCTCGCAAGGTGTGAGAGCTGGGGAGCCGGGCACAGCAATTCTTGGCAGTATGGGGTCACCCCAGTTCTGCAGGGGATGGATTCACCTGGGGGATGGATTAAGGGCAGCTCTGGACCCAAGCTATTAAGCCTTTGTGTTTGAGCGTGGCACGTGGGTCTCCTTGCCAGGGCATCAGGGTGATTGCCCAGCCTGGAATGAGACAATCCATCTGTGGCTGTACCAGCTTGGCACTAGGGATGTCTCACACGCTTCCCAATGTCACCCTTCTGCAGGGGTTTATGGCAAGGTTTCCCTCTTTAGGGTGATGCCAGGGAAGAGCTGGCAAGGGTGGCTCGGGTCCCGCGTGGAAGTCATTCTGCACTTTGGGAGATGAGCTTTCTCTAGCAACAGTGTAACTGCTTTAGAGCTGCGCTGCTTTCTTGTATCTCCTTGGGAGAGGAGATCATCTGCCCGTGAGTAACAGTTGACTGCTACATAGTTTTTGTTTTGGGTGAAAGTTCTCAGGACTGGGATCTTTACCAGTTACATGGTTTCAGTGGGCCCTTGGTATGAAGAGGGTGGGGAAAAAAAAAAAAGGAAAGAAAGTTTCTGAAACAACAGAAAAAGCTAGCAGGATTGAGAAGGGGAAATGGAGACGGAGAAGTGGGACATAGCCTGGGGGCTCTCGGCATCAAACAGTTTCACTAAGATGATCCAATATCGTGGCTTTATTTTTTAAAAGGAAGCTGTTTATCATTATGCTGTCTTCTTAAGACAGGGTTAACTGTTCTTAAACAGGCGGGATTTCGCTTGTCTCACTTGTGCCACTGTAGGGAATATTCCGAAACTTTATATGAAAGTCGACTAGTTTTGACAAATTGATCTTAAAGCTATGTCCACCGTGAACAGGCTCTTCTCTCCCTGCCCCCACTGCCTTGGTTTCCACCCCCTCCCCCCCAAACTTTCTTCTGAGATTAGGGACAGAAATACAATCACCTCTTACCACAGTGCATATATTAACACCACCACAATACTACTTGGTTGATGTTCAGAACTACCCAGAAGCATACAGATATGGGTTCACCTGGTTTGAAAAACTGCTGCTCAAAATCAGAATTCATTAATGATTTTGAAAAATCCCCTGAAAATGTAGTATTTTACAAACATGCGTCCAGGGTGCTGCTTTTTTTTTCTTGGCTATAATTTGTTCTGTAGCCTATACACGCATATGCTTCCTCCCCATCACATGCTTTTTCTCTCCGTACATACTCGCCATTTAAGAGGCTGTTTCTAATTCATTTGTACTTATTTGATTTAATGCACTACGTGTATCCCGCTGACTGTTGCACATGAACACTATTACTTTATCTAGAAGAACTTTTTCTTGCTATAACTTGACATAAGCGACAGTGTATTTTTTTAATTATCTGTGATTTATTTGGTGCCTTGAACATGAAATTGTTGCCTCTGTTGTGCCTCAGATAGCACCTTGAAACTAGTGCAAGAGGAGGGTGTTCTTGTAAGTCCCATTTGTTTTCAGATGAACGGCTCGAGTGTGCATAAGTTATAAAGCTGTTTTAAAAGGGAGTATTTATCATCTTGTGAAGCCCTGTTTTTCTTACCGTTTTAATACAATAGGTAACGATGTTCGTTACTGAAAAATTGAATAATTGGATTTGTTTGTTTCATGGCTATATGTTTCTCTCTGGCCTTAAAACCTTGTTTGTGGGCTCTTCTGGGGCTGTATTTAAGTTGTATGAAAGAAAGATAGGAATTCTGGTGTGGGTGGGCTTGTTGTTGTTGTTTTTCATCTAATTATATATGATTTCCATATAGCCTGCTTTTGATGAGCCAGGCTTATCTGGCAATTTAATTTTAGTTAATAAATCTTGTTTTTTGAGCCCTGAGTCATTTGTTATTCTCCAGGAAACTAGAATGAGAAGGGCTGTGGTTGATGCAGCACTAGAGTAGGTGAACATAATCTGTGTTTTGTTTTTATAGGATATGCTACGTCAGTGTTGTCAGCTGGGCTTTCATTTATCTCCTGAATTCGGTGGTACTTTTATCCATGTCTTTTGGCTGAGCCATAATTGAAGTGATTTCGATGTGCTGTATTACTTACACATTGAAATTCTGTCTTTCCATTATTTAATGACACTCATTCTAGGTCTAATTTCCAGTTAATGAGATGTTTTTCCATATTTTTGCTTTGCTTAGTTTAGCATATAATACAATGCATTTTCTGTGTTTATAACGCTTTTATGCTGTTCTCTGTTCAGCACTGTAGTGCACTTTGAATCACTGGTTGTCTTTACCACGCTCTAGTATGAGTGGTCCTGGCTATGTTTTTATTATTATTGTTATTTATTTCTTCTCTCTCGTAATCATTGGTGTTGTGGCAAATGAGACGCAGGTGGATTGTATGTGCTGCCTTGAGGCACGGAAGCAGAGCATCTGTTTGACGCTTTGCTCTAGATTTGCCTCTCCCTGTGGGTTCTCTGACCTCCCCCTCTGTCTAGCCAGGTCCTTGGGGCTTTACATGGGACTTTATTAATATGCTTTGCCTTTTTTCCTCAAAGGATACTTCCCATGATTTGGGTTGGTGATTCTGTCATGCATTTGTTGATCCATTTTCATTCTAAATCTAAAAACCCAACAATTTTTCTTAGAAATTGCAGTTAATGTCTTGCATAAACACGGGCGTCAGGCCCTGCAGAGCAGGGGGGCAGCACTGGGCATTCCACCTCCAACCAGAAGACAACACCTCTGTTCATGTTTACCTACTTTGATAATTAGAAGCAATTATGCTTGTTAGAGAATGTATTACCCTTGGTTAACTGGACTTTTCAGTCCATGATGGCTATTGTGGATGCTATTTTGAGCCATTCAGCGCAGTACGGTAGATTGTTCCAGCACAACTCCTGAGAGGAAGCCAGTCTTTGATGTAGTAGTTTTGTTTCAGGATGCTGTCAAAATAGTCACTGCCAGCACAGTCACAGCATACAGTCCTTGATTTTGAAAAATGCTGTCAGGTTGGCATATTCCAGCAACGCATTGGGTTTATAATTTAAAAATACAGCTTCATTGCCAACAGCCCTGTAACAGAAACATGAAGCACTTGGTGCTTGAAGGGGGATCACTAAAAGTGGAACCCGTGTCCTGTTTGCAGTCAGCTGGACACTCTGGGGGGTTGTAACACGCTTGAGACAAGAGCCAGGTCTCTTGTTCAGGCTGTTGCAAAACTCTGAATGTCTGAATTTCTAGAACTTTCTACCATGTGAGTGGCTGGGTAAGAGGACTGTACTTGGGCTATCTCTCCGCACTTAATTACGAATAAAGGAATTATTAGGAATTAGGAATAAAGGAATTAAAGGAATAAGATACGAAAGGTATTAAAGGAATGTGTCTATGTTCTCTAACTTCCTCTGTAAGAAGTGGTGCCAAATTTGGTAATATTAACGTGACATTATGTGTTGTAGGATAATCATGGGTCAGACCGGAAAAAAATCTGAGAAGGGACCAATTTGCTGGCGAAAACGTGTGAAATCAGAATATATGAGACTGAGGCAGCTCAAGAGGTTCCGACGTGCAGATGAAGTAAAGGTATGTCATCATTTCCTAGAGTTATAGACTCTTTTAGGTGGGAAAAGACCTTTAAGATCGTCAAGTCCACCACTAGCCCATGTCCTTAAGCACCATGTCTACACACCTCTAAATACCTTCAGGGGTAGTGACTTCCTCTCCCTGGGCAGCCCGTTCCAGTGCCTGACAGCCCTTTTGGTGAAAGAATTTTCCCTAATATCCAATCTAAACCTCCCCTGGAGCAACTTGAGGCTGTTTCCTCTTGTCCCATCACTTGTCCCTTGGGAGAAGAGACCAACCCGCTCCTCTTGCACCCTAGTTCAGGGAGTTGTAGGGAGCAACAAGGTCTCCCCTGAGCCTCCTCTTCTCCAGGCTGAACACCCCCAGCTCCCTCAGCCGCTCCCAACAGGAACTGTGCTCCAGCCCCTTCCCCAGCTCCATTCCCTTCTCTGGACACACTCCAACCCCTCAGTATCTTTCCTGAAGTGAGGGGCCCAAACTGAACCCAGGATTCAAGATGCGGCCTCACTAGTGCCCAGCACAGGGGGATGATCCCTGCCCTGCTCCTGCTGGCCACACTGTCCCTGACACAAGTCACGATGCCATTGGCCTTGGCCACCTGGGCACACTGCCGGCTCATATTCAGCCAACTGAAAGTTTTAGTTCTGTTGCTTAAAAAAAGATTGATTTTCTTCTGATATATGAGCTGTCCTGCAGTTAACACCTGCAATAACAATTTCATTGAATACTTTGTTAACATAGAGAAAAACTTCTTATCTCTGTGATCTTATTATACAGGTGTGATGCATTTATATGTGATTGAATCAGGCATGCTAAGTATCAAAAGAGACTGTAGAGACCAAGTATGGCAACTTTTTTAACCACATACTCTCCCTAATTCCATTTAGAATTCAGTTCCATGCAAAAACGCTGCATCTTTATAAACATGAGAACATGGTTTGAGTCAGAGAAAAGGATAATGAACTATACTGAGCCTCAGTAGCATTTTAAAAACAAGTGGATGGTTGAGTTTTGAGAGCTTTGTTTAATCTTGTCTGGGTGTGTGGTTTTTTTTTTTTTTGTAAATGTCATAATGCCTTAAGATTCTAGCAGGTGAATGTAGAGTCTTTGATTTATTTGTATTGATTACAGTTATGATTAATTTTTAGAGTATGTTTAATTCTAATCGTCAGAAGATACTGGAAAGAACTGAAATCTTAAATCAAGAATGGAAACAGCGTAGGATACAGCCTGTTCACATCATGACTTCTGTGAGCTCATTGCGCGGGACCAGGGAGGTTGGTTAACATGTGTTGTGGTAATTCCAGTTACAAGGTTGTTAGCACAGTTTTGTTTTATTACTGCAAAGTTGTCTGCTCTTGTGGGTTTTGTTTTCCAGCTTGACGTGACTTGGAAGCTGTTTTTTCGTATTAGTCTTAAAGAATTTATTTCTTATTTACTTCAATCATATGGCTTCTGGGAAGCAATAAATATGCAGCAGGCTACCTAACTTTGAATGACACACAAGTGCAGCTTGTTAATTCCTGATAATACTTGGATCATACTTCAGCATCCTTTAATCAAACAGTTTTGTCTCATGGATATTCGGAGTTTAACCTTGCTCCTGTTGGAGTTGACCCCCAGTGGTACAAATGAGTAGTTACTTTGGTTCTTCACCGACCTAAATTACATGGAAGCTGTGAACATACCCATGTAGGGCTCTATACCTATTCTATGGCACTGTAGAATCAGCTTCTGATAATCGCTGGCACAGGTACACATCTAATTTTCACTCTTTTCCGTTAAGAAAAGATCATTCCTCACCATTCCTCTTTCTTTTTTTTTCTCTCTCCTTTTTTTTTTTAAATCTTGATTCACTCCTCTTTTATGTTAATTTCCTGCCTGAATTGATTTCCTGCCTGAATTGATAGAGCGCACTAATTACTGCATTCAAATCCAGTCTCTGTCTCATGAAACAGAACTCTAATGTTTGATTTAGAGTTGCCATAATTTATAGTGAGAGGAGCGAGACACAGGAGTGCTGGGGGTTTTAAAAGATAACTGTGAAATCTTTTTTTTTTTTCTTCTTAATAAGCTGAATTTCCTCAGAGTTGCGTAGGACACTGGCTAGAAGTTTAGTGACCTGATGGCCAGGTTTTGGGAGAGCCTTTGTGTGTTTGGTGAAGGCCGCAAGGCATCGCTGGTGACAGAAGGTTTCTCCAAAGGCTAGTGTGCTTGGCATCAAGTGGGTGCTGCTGTGCCCTGCGCTACCTTAACAAGCATTAGCTGAGTTTCATAATGCAACAACGGGGTGACAGAACTGAGACTTAGTACCAAACACTTTGAGTCTGTTTGACATAATCACTTCTCAGCCTGAGACTTCTAGTTCCAAAGCTAAAAGTAATTATTTTTTCACCTTAAATATTTTTTTTAAAATAGATGTAAAATATGCTGGATGGCTGCTAGCTAGCAAACGAAACGTTAACCTGAACTGGGAATAAAGTGCTAGCATAGGGCAGTTTCTTCAGTATTGATATACACAGCAGAAATCTGATTTTGTTTGCTGCAGATTAAAAAGAAACTAAATAAACCTGGCTTGTGTCATTCTCCCGGGATACTGTCTCTGTATACGGTTTGTTACATTACTTTGTGTATTTCTTTAGAAATGTGAAGCTCTGTTCATCTTTCCCTTCTGGAAAGGAGAAAGATCTTTTGTCTCCACTTCCTTTTTTCCTTTCAGGTAGCTATGATAGCTGTTCTAAAACTTTGTTTTACCTACCTCCAAATCCTCTTTGTTGTACTTTCCCTGGGCTTTGTATGCTCCTGTCTGGTTTTGTTTGTAAGGTTTTTCAGGGTTCGTCATATGGCTGTCCAAGTATTTGAGAAAAGTTGATCTGTATCTGTTAAATGTCATCTAGATCCAATAGTAACCTAGAAGTTGTCTCTAGTTCTATAGAATGTTTCTCTGTTGGAGGCTTCATAAACCTCTGAATCTCACAAAACCCCCAAACCTGTAGCTGAAAAACACACTGACATGTCCTGAGTTGCGTATTAGGAGTTAATTTTAATTTTTCTGGTGTAAGCAGTGAGCAGAACCGAAGACTTGAGAATAGGATAAAGAGACAATAATGGGGAAAGAGGGCGGGAATTAAGACAACGTATGGAGGATTAATTTCAATAAGATGTCTTGCTGGCATTAAAGTGAAATTTAATTATTATTAAAAAAAACCCAAAAAACCCCCACAAAAAAAAAACAAAAAAACCCCAAACATAAATAATCCATGATTTCTGCAGGATATTGATTGGAAGCCAGCAGGGATTCAGTTGCCTCTCTGATGGCTTAAGTAAATAACATCAGTGTAGCAGCAACAGGAACTAAATCTGTTTTGAGACACCAAACATAGTTGTATAGCCTGAGTAAAATATTATCACATCTGCTTAATTGTAAGCGTAAAACACCATCCTGACCTGTTACCAAAGGTATTGACATAGAAATAATTCTTGTGCCTTTTTTCCTGCTAAACCTGTGCTTAACTATTACGCCCTAAAAATCTGATGCATTTTTCAAAGGCTGATAGAGCTAATTTTGACAAAGACTTTGAATTTTGTACACTGTAGAGCGTTCCTGTGATGATTTTTTCCCTGCTTGTTTCTGATGTTGCTATTTATGTGTAACTTCAACCTCTTGTTTCAGTGCTCTGTTACCAGTGACATAGATTTTCCAAAACAAGTCATCCCACTGAAGACTCTCAACGCTGTTGCTTCTGTGCCTATAATGTATTCTTGGTCTCCCCTTCAACAGAATTTCATGGTAAGTTTAAAGACGTGTTGGGAGGAGAAACATATGAGGAAAAGGGAGGAGTTTATTTTATAAATAAGCTAGCAGAATTGAGGGATGTGAAGTCTCTGTGCAAGACAGTTGACCAACGCACCTGTAGAGGAACAGTCATTCTTACGGAATAAAGAGAACTTAATCCTGAAATATTCTCCCAACACGACGGTCTCTGTCATGTAGCAACTGCGTGTAGCCTTTTCTGATCAGCTTCACTGCACGCAGGAGCCATAAGGTTATGTTCCTGGTGTAGGTATTCGAGTTATTTGAAAAGCTTAGCTTATTGCAAATCCTTGTATATGAACGCCTTTGCTGGCTGGTTATTGCGATAATCATCACTGCAAAGTGATTTAACTAACTGGTTTTATCAGTGTGTCTACAGAGTTCTTCCACACATTTTGCCACTTGCTTTCAATCCATCAGGGTTTGGATATTCTGCACTGCTGCAGACAGCAGCAGTAGGAAAATTTGTTTCTTAACAATAGAAGGTTCTTCTGTAGTAGTGGAAGATACAGCTGGGTATCAAAGTCCCTAAATTCTATGGATAAAACATGGGAGTATTAATGCATGTAGTCTATATGCAGACAAAAAAAGAGACAGTGGAGTTGAGGTTAAATTGTGAGGTACATCTCTGTGCTTGCTCTTCAGACAACTTCAGTTTAGATCCTTTGTGTATCATATTTTCTTATCTCTGGCAGAGCAAGAACTACTTATCTCGTTATCAGTGAGTGTGCTGAGGCAGTGAAGCCCATTAGCAAACTGTGAGAGCCGGGCGCTTGGGAAGTGTGAAGATAGCAATGCAGAAAGGGTCAACTGAAAATGCAGCTTAGAGTTGTTTAACTGTTGTTACTAGGTAGAGGATGAAACTGTATTACATAACATTCCATATATGGGAGATGAGGTGCTTGACCAGGATGGTACCTTTATTGAAGAACTGATCAAGAATTATGATGGGAAAGTGCATGGAGACAGAGGTGAGCCCAAACACTCAGGTATAAAAATCACTTCTTCCTACATAAATAATCATTGCCAGTCTTGTTTGTTAAGGCCTGATGCTTGATTGTTACAGTAGTCCCTCTAGAATCCCTGTGTTGTTTAATAACAGACTAATCTGAGTATGTTCATTGCTTTGCATTTTCATAAGGCTGTGAAGGGTTAAATCAGTAGTACAGAAGGATTAAACACGTTAATTTCTTTTTTCCCTAGACCATATGGTGATTCACCATAATGTCTAGGTGCAGCTTGGAGAAGTTCTTGGGTTTCAGTTTTATGCTCAGAGCTTTGGACTACCAAGTGTAATGTCCCTCTTAGTGTCCTGCTCGACAGAAAGTGGCAGGAGAAGTGTCCCAAACTCTGCTAGTGACAACACTCGTCAATACGATCCGATAACCTTTTGCGGGTCTTGTTTTATTTTTCCTTTAAGGAAATGACCACTTATTTAAAAAACACCTTTCTGTAGGTTTGTGTAGTTCTATCCGTCCATTGGTACCCTTTATAGGTGTATTCTGAAGGGTAGTTTACCTCTGCGTGGCAGCTGGAGTACATGTGGTGCAACCTTCCACTGGCTCTGTGCCTTTAAAATAGAAAAAGAAAAAATCTGGTGCCTTTATATTTCATGAGGGACACAGAATGTTTCATGGGGTTTTGCCTTCGGATATGTTTCCAGGTTTAACGATTGCTGACATCCTTGTCAGGCTACTGCCTATGTCAAAATGGTGACACTGCTAATAAACATCATCTATTATGGATTTAATTTATTATTAAACGAGCCTAGCTTTAAAATTAATCTTGTTTCACCATCTTGAGTCCCAGCTTTATGGCAATTACTGGTATTATGAGTCCTTCAAAACTGTATATCGAAAATAGATGTTTTAGTCTCCCAAAAACGAGTGTTCTTTTGTGTCTATAATTAAATGTAAATGCTGTGAGAATCTAATCCAGAGGTATTCCCATGTAGGAGTCACAATGGTAAACTAGCTCTGTAATTGCACTTTTGGGAGAGAATTTCATTCTAACTTGTGTGTGTAAATAAAAAATTCTGTTTAAAACATTCAAATTAAGTACCCGCCTGTTTTCATTGTCTGCATAGGAATAAAATTATTAGTTTCCTGCAAGTTGTAGTTTGACATCCTTTCCTGGTCCTGGTTTACCAGGATGGTGATGAACACTACAGTTCCCACACAGTTATTTTTTTAAAATGGTTATTTTTTTTTCCCCTCTCATGGTGATTTTTTTTTTTTTAAATAATGGCGATTTTGCTTTCTGCAGAAATGCCTTATTGCCCATCTCTGCTGCCCTCTGAATTTCACAGCAGAATATAAGCTAATAAATATTAAGATGCAGTATTGTATCCTTCACTTTCCTCCTGAATTTTTTGTGTATATAACTGTATTTTTTATCACCTTGCCAGCGGGCTCTGTAGTGGATGCTGTGGAACTACCAACCAAACATCTCTCTGGAGATTCCCTAGCTGTCCAAGGGTAGCTTCCTAGACCGTTTGCATGCCTTTCCAGGATGGCTTAACCCAACCATGTTAGAACTGGCATTCTGGCATGACATCTCTGAAATAGCCTAGCTAGTAAGTAATTTTTTTAGCTTCCAAGGAAGAGAGATTTACTTATCTACTGGGATGACGTGCAGAGAGTTGGGAAATGAGAAGCTTCAACAAGTTTCCTTCTCCCCTTCCCAGCTGTCAAAGAAATAAAGACTGAGTGTTTTTAACTCTTCCCAGTTCATACAGGGAAACTTAAGAGGGGAAAAATACAAACCTGCTTTTCATGAATTACAGCGTTTGCCATAATTTAACTTGGGTGTAGGGTGGATTAAAAATACTTCATGTAGACATTGTGCTCTTCTGTTCACTCCCAATTTTGCTGAATTTCAGAATGTGGATTTATCAATGATGAAATATTTGTTGAGCTGGTCAATGCACTTGGTCAATATAGTGATGATGAAGATGATGATGACGGAGATGACAATTCTGATGAAAGAGATGACAAGCAAAAAGATCGGGAAAGTAACAGGATGGGTATGTCTGCAGACTTCACAAATTAAAACCAAGCCACGTGGTTCTTTAATCACTCGAAAGATTTGTTCAAATGTTCCTCCTCGATAGTTTTCAGGTCTAAAGTAGCATCATTTTCCTCATTGTTTCCCTTGCCGTTGACTTCAAGAGTTGTACAGAGAATGCTACAAAAGCTGCTTCTGGCAGTTTTGGGTTATCTGTGTACCGAGACCGTCAAGTACACCAAAAATCAGTCAGGTGGCTGTCTAATAAAGGCTTTGGAACTCCTCAGAAAATGAAATATCATTATTGTAAAGCAGGCAGAGTTCTGAATTGCCATCTCCATCTGCTGGTAAAGTAACGGCTTCTCCAAGTTTTGCTCGT